TGGAGAGGAGGGGATGATGTGGGAAGGATTTCAGAGGAGGAATTGGCAGAACATACTAATGAATTAGATTGTAAAGGGGACAGAGGAAGAGGTCTCCTGGACTCTGGTTTGAACCATTTACTGAGATGGGAAATGAGAAGAATAAGGGTGGGGTAGCCAGGCACAGTGGCCTTCAGGAGGCTGAGGCAGGAGGATCACGTGAGACCAGGAGTTTGAGACTAGCCTGGGCAATGTGTAGGCAACATAGTGAGACCCTGTTTCTAAAAAAAAAAAAAAAATCATCCGGGCATGGTGGTGGCATGTGCTTATAGTCCCAGCAGCTTAAGAGGCTGAGGGGGGAGGATCACTTGAGCCCAGGAGTTTGGAGCTGCAGGTGAGCTATGATCATGACACTGCACTCCAGCCCAGGTGACAAAGAAAAAGACCCTGTCTCAAAAAACAAAAAAGAATAAGTGTGGGTGGAATTGAGAAATCTACTTGGGTCATGTGAGACACGCAGAGATGTCAGATGTGCAGGCAGACACAAGTCAGGGCTCAGCGGAAACATGTGGGCTAAAGATATATATGTGAAAATCATTCTGTCACTGATGGTATCTAATGCCATGAAAACGGATGAGAGCACGTTGGGGAAATGGTGTATAAAGAAAAGGGAAGAGGCTGCTGGACTACCCGCCAGAACCTCTAATCCCTGATGGCTGGGAAAAGGGAGCTGCCCCTTTCAAGGAGACTGAGAAGGAGAATGGAGAAGTAGGAGAACGATGAGGATGTGGTGTCATGGAAATGAAGAGAACTTGATGTGGAAATATGTGTACAATATATTGTCCTGTTTTAGGAAATTTATAGAAAAGGGTACATTTATAGAAAATATATTTTATTTGCTTATTCATTCTTGCCTCCAATAATTCATTTTTGCAAGAAATACATTTTGGTGCCGTGAGAAGACTTAAATCTGATGCTGCTTCAAACCAATATTCTTTACAAATGTGCTCACCATTCATTTGGAGGCGAAGCCATGCAGGGGGAAGAGTGAAGAGAGTATGGCTGATAGTCGTGGTCTCTCTCCTCCTTGCTCCCAGTAATTCAGCCCTGGTCCTGCCTTCCAAAGTCCCGCTCAGCAAAGCACAAGTGCCACAGTAAAATTGCACCACTCTCTTTAGAAGGGCACTAGGGTGACCATCTCTGGCTCATCTAGCCTGCCTCTTGGGGGGATCTCATTTCCCCATCTCAGGGGCTCACCAAAGCAACAATGCTTCCACCTTCTTACATTTGTAGTAGTGATTTAGTGTTTCAGAGATGCACACCCTGTTGTCCAGCTTGTAGAACGACAACTGGGAGGCCGGAATTCCCATCCTTCCACACTGGTATGGATCCTCTATCCCAAAACAAGAAGAGCACTTGCCAGAACATATTCAGTCTTTCCAGAGCCCAAGATACCTTACACTGGAAAAGATGCTATTCTCTCCTTATCCTCCTTCTATGACTGTTCCTGCACCTTTTAAGACGAGCTCCTTAAATGCTGATGTCAGACAGGATTTAGTCCTATTCCTCTCCCTGGGTGGCCTCATCCAGGCCCACAGATCCCACGGCTACCTATACTCTGACGCACACTCTCATTGCACACCTCCAGCGCATACCTCTGCTAAGCTCACGGGCACCCCGTGACTCTGTCCAGATGACCCATAAGCACCTGAATCCATACACCGCTCCTCGCCTCCCCCAACTCTGAGGCCTGCATTCCTTTCTCAAGTCCCTTTCCTGGTTATAGTTTCTCAGGTCTCACAGTCACCCTGGACAGCTCCCATCTCCTCACTCCTCAAACCACATCCTTCCACAGTTGTGTGGCTCACGCTTCTTTACCAATCTTGGCAAAAACTAGTTTCACATCTACTGCCCTTATAAGACAGTGAACTTCTCAAATATAACCATATTGAATGATTTCTCTCCTGTGCCTAACACAATCAATGCCTAGCACAGTGCTTCTGACCATAATTCATAATGAGAAATACATTTTCCATCACAACCAAATTACAAGCACATACACATTTATACAAAACAAAAATTCCTCTAAACAATACTTATCCTTGCTTCACGCCATGCCTGTGATATTCTACTCTATGTCAATTTTTTTTAAAGCTGGTTTTGACCCATTAAGCTAGTTTCTGAACACATTAATGGATAGTGACTCGCAGTTTGAAAAACATTGGCTAGCACATCATCAGTTTTTTTTTTTTGTTTTTTTTTTTTTCCGAGACAGAGTCTCACTCT